AGTAGTTATAGACAGCTGGAATATCGCCAAATTGCGTGAAGTATGGCCAAGGCCTTGGAGAGGCTTGTTGATGACTCAAAATTGGAAGTATACACACTCCATGTTATTTGTTCTTATCAAACGAGGCAAAGAAGGCATGTAAAGAGCATTCGAATTGCTTTTGTTTATACAAATTTGCTCCAACCCGCAGAAAGTTGTCATTTCGATTTCCTCTCAACTTTTGGTTTTGTTGAAGAATAAATTTAATTGTAAGACATATAATCAAATACTAAAACAAATAAAATGATATGCAAATTGAAACGAGTACTATAAGCATTCTTATATAAACTTTTTATACTTTTTGGTGAAAGACATACTCAGTGATAAGTCGGAGAGCCACCATAGCAGCCGCAGAAAATTTCGCTTCTAAGGAAAATCTAAAATACAGAAGACAATTTTTCTAAGTGTGAACGTGCTAGTATATGCAGATCGTTTGAACTTCCGCAGTGATTCACTATCAATACTCGACATATTGCACTTTTTCAATAAACACTTTGTGCCAGCGATATTTAGAAGCTTAATAGTACATCCGCCAATCTTATAAGGTCAGCAATTCATCAACTTTATATAGCAGCGTTCTGGTCATCAAAAATACAGCTTTGATTGTAATTGTTGAAAAGTGGCTCTGGTGGCAACTCTTTTGAAATGCATAGAGAAAATTCTCTTCTGCTGAAAGCAAATCTTTTTTTGTTTGCCATTTCCACTATTAACGCCTTCATTTGCAGCCTTCAGTGACAACAAGTGTGATGTTCTAAGCCTGACATAAAAAGTTTAACAAAGAGCATTTGACTATGTAAACTGACGAGGTACCACATAAAACTCCCCGAAAAAATATAAATCTTTGGCAAAATGTGTGTAAAGCCAGTTGTCGTTGCATTTCTATAAAACTGCCAGACTTCTGTCGGAATAACAAAGCTGACTTCAAAGCAATTTTATAGCTTCAAAACTTATTCTATTGTAGTATTCATTGCAGAGTTTCGTGACTTGGGTAAGTAAGGTATTGTTAGCTTAAGTGAGACTTGTCCCAGAATAGGGCTCGGCAAGCTGGCACCGGGTCAAGCTGGATTTCGTTTTTGGGATAAAAGGCAAAGGGGATATCTTTTTTGTGGCGAAAAAAGACAGCTTGTGATTTTTTTTCGACGTTTCGTTGTTTTTTTTTTTGAGTTTTTACCTTCGAGGTTTGAGGTCAAAGCGGACTTCGTACGACATTTTCAAGATCAAAGGGGCTTCGTTCTGAAAAAAAAAAAACCCTTTTGCCAGCTTGTGCCGAGTCCTCCTCCAATGCAGAAAAATAGCATGGTGCTCTCTGACCAAACATTCGCCAAATCTACTACGCATTTTCATGCTCATCGAATAGTTGCATGATAAACGAAGATTACAATTCGCACTTGCGCAATGTACTGAAAGTCCATAAAACAAATTCTCGAACTGTCGTCGAACCGCACTGCACCTGAGCCTCGAATCTATGAATAATGTACGCGGCCCCCATCTTACAAACACAAAGAGCAATGCTTTCGATCGAAGGTCCTCACATACCACTTGTAATTGTTTTTCATAATTACAGCAACTTCAAAACTCTCTACTCTCTGCACTGACACTGTCCTATACGTCTAGTCGTATAAGCTATTCTTTTTTCTTCACAATATTGATAACATTGTCCTGTTGAGAGTTATTGTTAGTGCGCTCCAATACATTTACGACGAACTGCTCGGTATTTCTACAATTTACCAAACTAGATGTTCCTTTAGACTAACTGTTTCTTTAGCTCATTAGATTTGACACCTGAAGGGCGTGCCTGCGTTGCTGGCAACATTTGCGCGCAAAAAATGGCAATGTGCAGTCTACGATTCATTCAGTTTACGATTGCAATTCACGCGCAAGTCGCAGGTCAATTCTTGGTATGCACAAGCTCGACACTTAGTTCCACGTAAACGTTGTGATAATCGCATAAGCACTATATTTACCGTCAAATCTTTTACTGCATGTTGGCGCTGGCATTAAGATAGTCAGTATCGTCTACGAAATCAAACAAACTTTGAAAGCTATCAAAATCTTTTGTTTACAAGTACTTTCAAAAGCTGAGCACGGAGGTGATGGGGGAGGGTCTACTGCAAATTTGTGCAAATGCTAGCTTACGTCCTTATGGGTTAGCCGTTTTTTGATTTTCGGAAATTTAACTTTGTAGCAAAGTTTTTTCGTCTTTTCTCTGAGCATTTTCAAGCGAAGTACTTTGGAAAGTGGTATAAGAGATTTTCGGTGTCTCTGGCCCTTATGTAATCTCGAAACTCAATTTAATGCTTCACTAGTCAGATGGAAACCTTATGGTCGTCTTATGAAACTAACGTCTTTGTTAAATTCATCTCAAATGGAACTCATAAAGTAGAGATGAATGCACAGTTACATCGCATGGGAAATGTTATTGCAAATACCTAGCAACAAAGAAGTTTAGACTGCGACAGACGTTTTAGAGACTATATAAGGATTACAATTTGAGGAAACCTCATGATATATCATTCATCGATGATATAAATATCTGCAACATTTCTCCTACTTTTTGTGTCATTCCGCTAGATCTTTTTGGATGAAGGTACATCAGTCTTCACCTTAATTGACGACAGCGAGAGCACAAATCTTTATCAATGAAATTCTGATGATTCGCGTCATTGAAGGTTACTACAATTTTGAATAATAGATATGGCAGCAATGAAGCCGATATCTGCAAAAATCTCGGGAGATTGAATTTTTGAAAATTTTGTTTTATGAAAGCTTTTTCGCCCAACAATTTTTCGAAAAGTGCAGCGGGCGCCACAGGTGGCCCATGTCGTCGTCAAATGGTAGTAACCCAGCCACTTATTTACTCTTAGCTATTATCGAAATAAATGACAGCATCACTACTTTGGCGTAAAATAACACAAGCATAAATATCTCACATAAACGACGACACGATCAGCTGTCCCAAACGCAATCAGTAAAAATCGAATATCTTTTTCAAAAGTGATACTCGGTCTACTACAATCACCATTTAGTCATGAAATTTGACGGCTATATTACATTCCAGATTAAGTTCTGTTTCCATGGAAAAAAGCGTCGTTTTGATGGCCACGCCCAGGATGTGATCAGCAGATTAGCAACTTATAGTTGAAATAATCCTGCGTATAATCGTTGCTCAATCTAGCGGAATGAATATTTGCCAATGCTAACTCAAGAAAATAGTCTTTGTTATCTGATCTCGTCTACCTTACCCACAAGTCATGAAAAAGAATGTAGCGTCTCGGGATGTCGAATACAAATTGCTCGTGCTCAAAAGATAGCTACAGAACATTATATTGATTGTGGCTCTATTGTTCATTTTGATGAATTCATTTTATGTCACCTGGGCAATTCATCTAATCCTCTCTTTTCGCTACCAGAGACAAAAGTAACAAATCAACCTCGTTTTCATAGAATTTCTCATGAATACGCCTAATGTTCGCCCACGGAATCCAGCAAGATCGATTCCCCGCTTACGCTTGAATATGAATCGGTCCTTACTGCGATATATACCAGCGTATTTCTAATTTTTGCTCAAAGCCACGAATGGACTAGACTCGGATGACAAGAACTTCCCGCGTCTAGAAACGGATGTCAACGTCACAGTGGAAAAAAGTAGTATTTCTGACTGAGCAACGTTAATGAAGCTTGATATACTCTTTGCTTATTAATGAACGTTACCCAACCTACATTCACTTCTCCTTCAATGTTATCGAACCGCGATTGTTATAACGAATTCTGCATGATACGAGGTATCTCCCATAAAAAGTAAAGCTTTCCTTTCATCTCATGTTACACATGTCCCCCTGAATTCCATATCGCATAGGATCTGACGCCCTTTTCCAGACATGTGATCTTCTCCTTTTGCGTTACTTCATTTAACAAATTCTGAGGAAATCATTGAGAGAAAATTCTACTGCCACTATGTAGTATCGCACTGCGCCTGTCATAAGCATCCAAATAACTAAGTACTGTTCAGATTGGACTGTTGAAGAGGGATGTTTGAACAAAGCGTAGGATAAGTCTTTTAGCTAATAGTGGAACTATCTCAAAAAATAAGGAAGCAGCCAACAAAGCATTGGAATTTGAATACGTCCCGCTATAATTGTGTTAGATTCGGAATTAACACTCATTCTTCAGGATTTGCGAAGAAAGGCCACTTTCCATACATTCAACCTACCAAATTAGCGTTCCACATACGGAATGTGATTTTAGCCTTGAAAGAATGAGCAAAATTTGAGTTGTTTGTGGAATAAATTCTGTTTAAAGTACTTTACAAGGGACTCTGCAATAATTGCATTAGGAACAAGCACTGCATCTTCTTATCAAAACCTGCGTAGCCTTTCACTACCGAAAAAATTCTAGCAAAACAATGTGCCTAATTAAAAAATAATATTCATAGAAAATACTGCTGTTTAATCAGTAGAGGAACTATAACGATAGAGGAGCGATTATTGGACATATATTTCCATTGCATGTACGAAAAATATTTCACGTTTTCTCACTAATCCCGATTTATTCCGGCTATCGAAACATGTGCGGATGGAGCAGATGGAGCTCTCATCTGACTGAAGCACGCCAACTAAAGCCTACTACATTTCATCAATTTTTTCACCCACATGTCTAATGTAGTTTCACTCATTCCTATAACACAATAAACAAGCCACACTCTCCCTATGTGGACTTTTTTTTCATACTTTTACGTAAGTGTTCGGGATGTGGAAAGGTCATTAGCCTACACTCACGAAATGTCTCTGTAAAAATGCCTAACTCATTAGCTGCTCTTCTGGACAATTAGCAATCTCCTGTGCCTCACGAATTTTCTGGTCGTCCTAACTATTCATACACATCTATCTTAATCGCGAAGAAATGACATGTGTAAGCTACCGTTCTCAAAATTCCACTTCTGACAATTTTGGCGATTTCAGGAGATGAATAGCACAGAATTCTCGGAACCTCCGACGCATTTATTCAGCGACTACGTTGAGATGGCTTATCTAGCAATACTCGTAATTCTTGGCATACCACTCAACGTATTCATACTCCTAAAACTCATCAAGGACATGAAATATACCCAGAAGGATTCAGTAAAGGTGGGTCGTTTTTGAAAAACAAATTTCTGTATTACATGAATTCTAATACAAACATAATCAGACGTTTTTATATAGTCTCATCCCAGCGTCTTCCTTCTCGATTTCCTTATAAAAAAATTGATTGAAAGCTGCATAGCGTTTTAAAAAAGCTTTTTGGCTTTTCCTGATATTACCCTTATTCCTCTTGTTTTATTTTGACGTATCCTTTCCCACTCTTCATCTTAATCGTTAACTAGTACCTATCTACAAAGAAAACGAGAGACTGCGAGACAATATACAGAGCTAGATTAGGCCGACTTGCATCAAACGAGTGATTTGCATTTGATAAAAGAAAACTTTTGCAATTAGTCTCTAGAAAGGAACATTTAACTGAAACCCCATATACAAAGCAGCGTAGCCAAAATTGTTTTGTGAAACCAAAAATCAAAGACCATCTGCTATTTTTAGAATTTGAAATACATTTTACATAAAAAGGTGCATCTTTTGAGAGATCGACTTAACTGCTTGGAGCAACTGCTCCATGAAGAAGTGAAAGATGAAAAACCTTCGATTCGAGGCATAACCCAATAAACTTTTAGAAAGTATGATTTATATTTCGTCTTGCATTCTGTAATCAGAACCAGATAATACTCTTCAGAATGAGCAAAAAAGACTATCTCTAGCATAAGCTTGTCTCATCTATAATTTTATTTTCTGAATATGTCCAGATCATACGGATCCGAACTACTGAATTTGAAATGCATAGCGCACTTCCATCATTTTTCGTTTTGTTTGCTCAAAGCTTTGCGATGTAAAGCTATGCATTTCAAATTCAGCAGTTCGCACTCATATGATCCGGACATAATACGCAACTGGAGAAATGAACCCATTGAGAAGGGTTAGTTTGCCAAGTATAACTGTCATCTCATATTTCATCTCAAAAAGATTAGCGCGGGAAAAAAAATGGATCTCGTCATATGGACAAGCGCTGACAGAATGCAAGGACGAAAACAAAAACTACTGCTCTCATCAACGAAATCGTTTGTCGTTTTCTTTTACGCACAATTTATTGTTTTTTACTGCCTCCCATTTGCAACTTCTGCTTTTTGTAATCGTAATTATTCTCCTTATATGAATGAGGGGCTTCATAATTGTAAATGACGGGAAACCCGCGCATCCTAAGTGGAGTAACAAAAAGACGGCGAAGTTCGCGGTTCGAAACTTTTCGTTCGATTCAAAAGGCTAAGAAATCTGAATAGTATCAGCCCATTCAAAGCATCGATGGAAATGTACTTATAGCGCAGTGCCTCCAGCGTATAGTATTTAAACGTCTTCAGTAAACCAAACAATCGGTTTGGTGACTAAAATGCTCGTTAACGATGCTTTTCAGAAGTGGAATTCCCAATGAAATCACTAATGAAGGAGGGACAAGCTTTTCAAAAGCTTTTTGTTCAAATGTTTAGGACTACAAGAACTTAGAAAGACTTCTCCACTAGCTAGCACTGAGCCAGCTGCCAAAAAGGCATTCAAACATCTGAAGAATAGCAATATCGAAGAATTCTGTTGATAAGTCCGCTTTCTAAATTGCCCAGATTTTTATACATAATCAATTAGTTTTGCAAAACTTGAAGAGACAACTACCCGTACAATAGTCAATAAAGGCCATATATTAGGTTTTCTACGATTTTATTTTGATCTTTGCCTTAGCACATAACTGCACCTCTGGGATAAAGACTCTGTTCTTTAGCCCAGTTCGTGCACTAAAGTCCGTCTCTAATAGAACATAAGTTCTCTTACAGAAAAGCTTTACAAGAGCTTTCGAAAACTACACCGCAAACCCTATGTTTTTGTACTTTTGTAAAGGGCAAAAATTTTGAGTAAAAAGCTTTCAGCGGACTTATATACACGCCGACCTTACAACACTTGAGGACAATGGAATTTTTGATTAACGGGATCTGAAGGAAATGGCGAGTTAGTTGAAAATAATTATTCGCTGAAACATTTCAACTGGAATACTTAGCATTCAAAAATCAAATAGTCGGATACTTCAATTGCTGGATATCGAATATTTGACCGCTTAAATAGACCCCATGCCGAAATTATTCAGTTATGAATGCACATAACTAGGAAATTGAGAGACTGAGAATCAATTTTACATAATAGGATCAAAGAGTTGATGTTAGGTAACTACAGGGTGGGGCAAAAGTCTGGGAGCCTAGTACCTTTTCAGATAAAATCAGAAGGAAAGTGCCCAGGAACAAAAAATTTGGTGCACACATAAATCGAACCTTTACTAATACAGCGCTGCTTTCAAATTTTGAGATTTGCCTCTTCTGGCTTCAAAGCAGCCCTTTGAAATCTTGGCAAGTCCGACTGTCGTGGCACGCAGACAGTGGTGATGAAATTCGTCCCACGCCTTTACGATAACTGTTTATTTCACCAGGCAAATATGCGGTGTGATGGAGCAAGCTTCGCTACAACGCACTGCGAAGAAATTTTTTTTTTCGCAGTGTTTAGGAAGAAAATTCTAAAATTTTAATTAAAGGCAAGTGTACTCGTATACTGGAAATCTGAATGCGATTGCGCGAACGGGAGCGAAGAATCGTAATCTGAAAAGTACTGAAATTGCTTGATCGATCGAACACCAGTACACGCTTGCATAGAAGGTTCATGGAAAGAATATAGCCTAGAATTCAGTGCCTGCTGTGCCTCTATAGCTTTAAAATTTATTCTAAAAAAATGGCCGCTGGCACGCAGCTGGTATTCGCAAATTTTTATTTTGCGTTTTTGAAAGAATAGTATCTGACAAACGCAACGGCTAAGAATTGATAGCGCGAAGTCTCCTCTACATTATACGCATCGAAATGCTTAAGAATATCCACTGTATCGTTAGTTACGAAATAAGTTGTGAAGACCGAGAATTTCGATTTTCTCGTTTTGCAGAGCACCTGTTTGATAAATCTAACTCCTACAAAAACATATAGCAAGCATTTTCAGCCAGCCAAAGTGTGTTTTGTAGAGAATGATCGCAGCAATATGTGGCACAAATTTGGAGTCAAAATCATCAGTAGTTTCTTGATTTACAGCACTGCAAATTAGGCTCCCAGACTTTTGCCCCACCCTGTAATTCGAAGATGAATGGTACAACGCTGCCCCAAATTTTCCTGCAGCTATACCCCGGTGAACAAGATTTCAAGGATAAAAAAAATCAAACCTCCAAAAAAGTTTATCTCTATTGTCTGATTTTCAAGCAAACTGACAATAATGGTTCACGATAGAAAATCTTCACCAACATTTTCTATTTTAGGCTGGATTTCTGCTGCTCAAGGTACATTTGAACGTGTCTGATATTTTAATGTTATGCACAGCTTGCGGCAAACTGCTTTGGTTAACTACGTACTATTGGCCTGGCGGTGATATATCCTGCCGTGTATATTTCTTCCTTTCAATGGCAGCTCTTTGCATATCATCAAATATTGTCGTTTGCATAGCATTGGATCGTCTCAGGAATGTACTATATGCGGATCAATTACATACAGGTTATAAAAAGGTATGTATGACTAATGAACCAGTAATTAAAGCTGCTAGATTGCATCCGCGTCCTTCGCGACCGCACCGCGGTTCCTCGCTATTTGATGGTTTTCAAATGCAGCTTACGATTCTTTATATATTAGAAATACGTTATTTACGCATGCAGCATCTGCGTGATGTTTTCCATGAAACCTGCATAGAATATACTCTCAAAATCGCTTTCCTGTATAAGGCTACCACTGACAGATTCATATAGCGTGCTAACATTATAGACTAGATAACTGCGCACGAAAATTCCCAGAACCACACCTAACATACTCGCTATCTTTGCAAATAAGTGGCTCTACAAATACGAGCAGCATAAAAATTCTGTAAATTCGTCGCACTTTATGTAATGTATCGAAAAGATATTTTCACAGCAACTCAAAAATTGCATTACAGCTAAACCCTACAAATGCCGTGCTCACAATATCTTGGATATTAGCGTTTGTCTGTGCTCTGCCACAACTGATCGTTTTTGAAACCTACGAGGTCTATCCTGGCTGGTATCAATGCACTGATGTATGGCAGCTCCACAGGTAAAGTCAATTTTGTACTGATCTAGTGTAAAGCGAATGTCGGGCCTTTGCAACATGGGCAGTGTAAGATTCCTTCATGGTTCTCCGACTAACATTTTTTGAATTCAAAAGAATAGGGCTGAGTTCTGAATGAAATGATTCTTTAACGCTTAAGCTTATATACTTACTGTAAACTATAGCATGAGTAGCACTTCTGCAAACGCAAGCAAATTCGCTTCATAAACTATGAGAAGGTGCAATTTTTTCAAGAAGAACCCAAAACTTATTCAAAGCCAGTACAGACTACGGCGTAAAATAAAACGTTTGACGATGTCATTACATAGAGCAATGTTGTGCTAAGCAAATGCACAAATCAATTTTGATTTTCCACAACCGTTCAAATTCTTCACCCAATGAATTCTTTGGACTTATATCTAGACAAAGCCATCGAGCCACAACAGACAATGATTTTTGAAGGCAGCGACTTATAAACCCCTACTTGCTGCATATGAGCCTAAAATCTATTTTGCAGTCTTGAAATGTCATTCGTACGCGTGCCGCTGGGTGGGCGTGAAAGCGACCAATCGTAAATAGGAGAATACACCTACAAAAGTGTATTGATGAGAAAAACGTCGCCAAAGTTGCCGGGGAAATTTCGAGTGGACAATAAGCTACTCGCACGAGAAGCTCAGCAGTTACAGTTCCCAACGGCAGCGTTCATTCGCGGCCAAGAAATTCAGCTCTCCTCTCACACCGTACTTTCTATCGTACTTGAAGGCAGTGGCTCGGAAAAATTCCAACTGCGCGCTTTCTGTTCCTCCTTGGCCTTCTGGATGCGTGTAGACCAGAGCTGTGCTTGGAAAGTCAAAAGAAAAAAAGGGTTTTTATGGCGTTGTCCGGCCTTGGAGATTGCTGAGGAGGCCGGAGCGGAGAATCCCGCCAAAAATAGTGACTGGCTACAGGAGACTGTAACACCACTCATTTTAGCAGCAATTGGCTGATTGGCCCAGGTAGCCACTGGCGACTCGGCTGCGGGAATCTCCGCCCAACCCTCTCAGCAACCTCCAAGGCCGGAGAACGCCATAAAAAGCACTTTTTTGTCTTTCCAAGCACGCTCTGGTCTAAACGCATCCAGAAGGCTAAGAAGGAACAAAAAGCCGCAGTTGGAATTCTCCCGAGTCACTGCCTTTAAGGGCGATTGTTCCCCTCGAAAGACTGTGTCTAAGCTGAAAATTACAACTGAATTTATCGATCAATAGAAATTATACAGGATGTCCCAAAAAAATGTATCGACGTTTGATCGTTAACACGTTGACGACGAGCCATTTTTTGAAGGTCTGTCCCTGTGGACGAACCGTTTCCCGGCACTTTCACAGCTGGCTGCATGTATATATGCATGCATCTACGCGTGAGATACAAAAATGCAGTGGGCGGGGCGGCTCCGCCCACTTTTGGCAAGCCCCGCCCACTTTTCAAAAATGCTGGAAATTGCTCAAAATCAATGAATTCGTGCAAATTCCGGCATTTTTGAAAAGTGGGCGGGGCTTGCCACTTAGGGGGCGGAGCTTGCCTGAAGGTGTGCGGGGCCTGGCTGATAGTTGTTTGAGGTCTTTGCGTTCATTTACGGCCTCATCCATGCTTTTTATGAACAAAAATGGCTCTTGTGGGAGGCATAGGAGTGGGCGGAGTTTGCCAAAAGGGGCGGAGCTAATACATGAAGTATGTCTGAGCCTATGTTGATTATATGAACAAAAACTGAGAGGATTGGACAGATAGTATTGAAATTAAGGCCGCCGCGCACCATTGCGCGGCGTCGTCCACAGGGACAGACTGCCTGCCGCGCACCATTGCGCGGCACTGTCGTCAACGTGTTAATATCTCTTTTCTGAAGAAGTCTTTTCCCTTGCTTCAGGTACCAATCTGTAGAGCTGGCTTCAACTTAGACTTGCATTATAGAATGAATCACTCATCTCTCTTCATTACTGTAGGATTACGGTAGAAACTTCGAAGAGGGTGAGCCATGAAAGGCCATATTTTGCCTCAACTAGGTTAATTACAGTTGCTGATTCTAACTGTAAAGTTCCCAACTTATTATGATGCTTCATTGAAAAGTTATGCCAGGTAAGAGGTAGCGGCCATTTTTTCAATGTTCCTAAAAAGTGCGGTTACATCGTTGAAAAAGCTTCGTAATCCTGTGAATAGTTGAGTATTGAACTCAGCGTCCATAAAAACCCTATTACACAAGTTTTCACGTTTTTTGAAAAATTTTGAAGTGGCAGCTTTTTCCACAATGACCCATATGTTTCAAGTTTCTACCGTAATCCTACAGTAATGAAGAGAGATGGGTGATTCGTTCTATACCCAAATGAGCGCTAGCATTTATGCAGTCAACCTGACCTTAGTCAGATAAATAGCAAATTTTTTAGGCACTGCGATGTATGCCCTAATGAGTTATTACAGCCAGTTCTTCTATCCGAGTATACAGAAAATGCCTATAATATTACGCATTTGGTTAGTATCGTTGCTACCCTCTGCTAAATACATGGCATCAATTTTCACTTTGCAGATAATCGTTTTTTGGGGACCTTTAGTGCTTCTACTGATATCATACTTAACTATAGCAACGCGACTAATGAGATTCTCATCGGTGACTAACCGATCGGTAATAACACTTTTGTTTCAAAAATTTAACATATAGTAACATGAGGACATAGTACAAAACGCTATTTAGGAGATGCGTGGCTCCACCTGTGCAATAGAATCTTCTAGCAGAAATGGTAAGTAAATTTATGCAAAAACATATATCAAAGCTCATATTGACTTTCAACTGTTAGGCTTGAAAACTAATACCATGTGCAGTTTTAGGATTGCCAAGTTCTTCAGAAGAGTATCAAAGAAGCAGCTATGAAGCCAGAGTAGACAAAGTGAGTGATCATGTTTTTATTTGAACAAGATTGGTAGAGGATACTGCTGATGAAACAAGTAGGAGCAATACTCGGGAGGGGGGATACTAAAACTGATATTCTACCAATTTTTGGCATTCGTTCACGCCCTTGATTATACGATATACGACATACGATATACATTTCATTCTGCATATGAATTACTCATCGCAAGCTTGAGTACTTTCACAAAACTATGCAAAAAAATCGTGGCCTTTGATAACAGCTTCCAATGTGATTCAAATTTAGATATGTAGTGGTAAGCCTTTGATTTTGAGTTTGCAGATTGAAAAACGCTTACTCAATCATACTGAAATCAAACTAAGCTGCCTATATTTTGCTCATGATGCCTACTGTAGAACCTTGCGAATCCACATATCGTTTGAAGGACGTTTGAACTTGCGTCTGAGCACTCTTTGTCATCATCTTGATAAGAACTAGGAGCAAGAAGTGCCCTGGGGGCTAGATCCTTATTAAACAGTAACCCTGAGAAGATCTAAACAGATTTAAATGGCGTTGAAACAGGAGGACAGATGTTCACAACCACCCGATATATCTGACAGTGGTGAATACTTCCATTCTGCGATGATATCGGTCAAAGATGTGAGCGAATGAAGAAGGTCCAGGTCTTAAAGCGTGCTAGTTCGTGAGGGAAGGAAGAGTACGTGCCGTTAGCAATGTTTGGCTGTTCTTTTTATGTGGATACGAACTGATAGGCTTCATCAGAGTTACTGCTCAAGCAGTTTTAGCTTTCACTAGTCATTCGTGGCCAAGAGATGCAACCCTAGATTCTCACCTAGCGTGTTGTCAACTACGTCTTGGAAACACTATGGTACTGCTCGCCATTTTGTGGTCAAATTCAGCAACAAGTAAATCGTATAAGCACGGCTTCGGCAATGGCTTGGTCGAGATTTAGTTCTCAATTAAAAAAATCACGTACTCAGATTTTCGTGGAAGATGCCTTCAAGTGTGTCAGTGAGAAGCAGAAGATAATCTTTGGGAAATATAGCAAGAAGAGAGTAGAAAATAAAGGCAAATACACCGCAAATATAGATAAGCTTGTCTGTCAAGACAAATATATCAGAAAGGAACGGGGACCTCAAAAAGTTAGTGCATATTGATATGGTGATGATCGTAGTTGATTTTTTCGAAGAGAAAAACAGAATCCTCTGAATGACAAAGTGTTACACTAACCAAGCTCTCTACAAAAATTTCTGAGACTTCTTCCGCAAGCTTATAGCCGTGAAATTTTAGGAGAGTCGTTACTCAAAAAATTTCTTAAACTAATTTTTTAAATTCAAAACAGTCCACACGTTTCGTGTTTGAAATTGATGCCTATGAAATTTCATACCTTTTGTAGACGACTTACCAAAAATTTGCTATTCATTCTCGAAAGCATAAATCCCCCCCTTCCCCTCTTCGTTAGCCACTGCTACGATGAAGGATCATAATGTTGAAGAACAGCTAAGTGAGCTGTAAAAAACCATATCGTGACAGTTATGTTCTTATGATGGGATATTTTCAATTAATAAGGGTGAGAGCGTCGACTATCACTCGTGAAAAACACCGCAAAGACGAAACGCTGCAGTCAACTTAAAAAAAGCTTTTTCTTATAGCCAATTTGGCACTGGCCCACAGTATCAAAAAGGAACACAGCGCTTATATACAATACTTGAGGGGATAAAATGGGAAAAAACGAAGTAAGGGGAAGCAGTTGGTCGGAGTAGAGGAGAAGAACCTAGCAGAATTGAAACAAAAGAAAGACCTGTCTTGCTTAAGGAGAAGATTTCATTATAAATCAGCTGAATATTATCGTTTAGACTTTACAAGAAGAACCAAACACTCCTCTGCTAAAAAAAGTCAACAGCCACCGTTCTCCACGAATGAGCAAATCAGGTAAGGTTTATACAAATTTACCAACTATGTAGATACTGTGGTTCTTAAAGAAGGCAGCTTTGCCCATGAATTAGCTCTGTACCACTTATAAATTCCAGTGACAGCCTAGAAATCTTTATCGATAGTGAAAAAAATCACATCAGAAGCGATGTGCATACTAAACACCATGCACTGAGTATCAACAGGAATGAGGGAAGAATAAAAATTAGCGTGCAAATGAATTAAACCAAGTGATAAGCAGCGCAAATCATAGCGACAGCATTATCTACGTCTGTACATAACCATCAAGGACTAGCGGCCCTACAGCTTCTACTAGGGATATCAGACCAGAAGCAAAGGAAGTAGAAAAGAAGCAATTGCTAAGGAAGCGACAGTTCCCAGATTGCAAAGGTCAGTTTTACAACAACAGATCTGTCCTTGCCGTCCATAATCGCGATGACGACGACATCGCATTCCATCTGAGGTGTCTCGCCACACCGAATTTTCTTCTTCGGATTCAGCACAGTCAACTTGATCGCAACCTCGAGAATAGCCATTCTTCTTCACTGGATTCGGGTCACGATAGATAGCAGAAATACAGTACCTACTACTCGAGCAGATATCCGGCAGGATCTCCAGTTTTCGCCCATCTTCCCAAATTTCATGGTGCAAATAGCATCTTAGGGGTAATATTTGAGGTGTGAAGAGAATCAGAAGAAGTGCGGATCGCAATGGTGACGCTAGCATTGGTGGATGTAGCGATGGGCCGGCTTCATTCATGAATACGATAGTAACTCATTAATCAATAAGACATCTAAGCACGAAACCTCAAGAAGAAAGGAAAGAGGGTGATCGGTCGTAATCGCGTGACGTAGTCGACTCACGAGGATGACATGTAGAATGGGAAGATGACGCAGTTCAACGACCTAGCCGCCGGAGTAACTTCTTCGCACCTACTAAAGAAGGAAAAGGAATGGCAAAAGTCATGGCTAGAAAGACCAAAAAGACCTGCTTTTCGTAGGAACTGGCTAATCGACATGCGCTAAGACGATGACTGATGAAAATGGTAGAAAAAAGAAGCTTGAAACAGATCTCAAAAACACATTTCATCACTCCATACCAATGCCAGTGGCGACATCGTCCTTGATGATCCCATCCGTATAACGATGAAACATGCATGACAGATGCCTTATATCTGATTCAAAGATGTTTGACATGGAATAAACAACCTATTGAGCTCTAAAGCAAAGCCTCAAGGTAGCAAAAGTCGAAGAAAAAACATCAAAGAGATATAGTTGTGTATATACATGAAAATCCTGTTCTAGTGTTTCTTCCTGTAAACTGACCTATTCAGATCTGAGAATGCCAGCATGGAGGAAGCAACTTCGATCGAAAGTATTTCGAGCAACACTTCTTGTCGTACTTGCGCACATCATTTTTTGGTTTCCGTATAATGCACTTACTTTGATGAAATACGTCAACTTTGCCTTATATAGGTAAGAGTTCAAACTTGGAGTTTTAACTCTATCATTTTATCACTGCAATGGATTTACTGCCATATATGTACCCTACCATAACACTGCAGATACTTGATATAAAAATCACCTCAGTTTCTGAACCTATTTTCTATATGCTCGGAACTGGGTCACTTAACTCAAAATTCAAATAACCGCGTTAATATTGATACTAACAGAGGTAAAAGCTTTCTTTTTCAGGAGCCTCAGCGAACATGCATATATATTCAACGATATGGAGTTCCTGATAACACTGATAAACCCATTTTTATACGGTTTTTCAGCGTGATAATAGTAAAGAGGTTAATATAAATTTTCTATCCGTTTTTGCCTAAAATGATTTTAAGTGCGATTAGCTAGAAAATACCAAGCATCAGTTCATTGAACAACCATTAAACTCATACCATACCATTAGTAACGAGCATAGAGTATATTGTGTTTTGTTTTAGGGTGCATGCGTCCTGCAGAACGCGAATGAAACTCAAAAACTCAGTTGAAGGCTTTTCAGCAGGGAAAGAAGACTTAGTAGCACAGTCATGGAAAGTACAACTGAGACAATCGCTTACCATTTTTTAAATACATTGAGTGCTTTAAAGCTGGTACACGATATGATTCAGACTTGCAAGTTCCAATGACAAAAAGCTAGAAGGGTACAGCTTTCTAGGTTGTGCGCAACTGTGACTCCACATCAGTCACGTATATCACTTGATACGTAAGCAAGACCACAGTGAAATCGCGCCAAGAAAGCAACAAAAAGAAGAGGAAACTGGTTATCAAAAACTAAACAGGTGAATTTCAGTGATGGGCTTAATCCTAAGATGTTCAACAGAAGGTAAAGATGGGAGATTGGAGGGGCTAATTCACAAGAAATCCTTGGTGGAAAGTAACTGTGCAATGCACCTAACTCAAGCACTGTAGCCTGTAACATGTATTCTTCATTGGCGCAATCGCCCGATAAAGCTTCGAGCAATGTTCGCGTGTATATAGCTTAGGCTTTTGAATCAGCCTTATTGATTGGGACGCGTACACAAGACCCACGCGTTGCGAGAGCGTGGTTCTATCCAAGAGGGAAACGTGAGTGACACAGACTGTAATTCTGCTAAAGCAAGATATTTTTCTCCGCCTAACCTCTACCTATACTCTGTACAACACTATGACTTCTCAAAATCAAAATTATCACATGATTTAAAGGGTGTGAAGATAACGATAGGAGATATAGAAAAAATATAAATAGAAGGTAAATACATTGAAAATCATACCAGAGATTGCATCAGACGTTGCGGTTTCGATGAGTGTCGGTTCCTGTGAGTGTTGCAGTAGAAGGTCAGAGATCCAAAAAGCGGTGCACCATAGTAGTACCTATATGCTTGATAGCTTTTCAAGGAGAGTGAGTATGATGGCAAGATTTCCTTTAGCGAACTACAGATAAGGAATAGCAAAAGGTGCAATACCTTGATTCAACAGTAACTTCAGTAGAATCGAGAGGCTGTCCATCACTGATGGAGAGACCGATCTTGAATGGCGGCAAAACTGAACAGCGGAAATGTCTTACAACTCATTCCGCCTTTATGCGGAAAACGGATAACTTACCGTAATCTTTTACCTGGAAAGCAACACTATACGTAAAGTCGGGATCATTCACGCCCTGAGGTTTTGCAATTATGTGCCACTCGCCATAGAAAAGGTACTCGGGTAACTCGAAGGTCAGTGGAATATAACCATCAGAGGTGTTATTGCGCTTTCTCACAAGTTCAAAACCGTCCGGGTTCTGAAGAGGAGGCTTCGGTCAAGCTGTCTATGGGCTGTAATCCCAGAAGAAGTAGAGAAATAAAGATAAGAACTCACCACTAAAGCAAACTCAATGAAACCATCGTAGACAGAGCCTTCATAGGTTAATGGCAAAGCGCGAACAGACACTGGAAAGTATAACATATATGAAAAAAGAAAGATGAAGTCGATGAAAGTGGTGTATCAAAGATAGTGCATCTTATATGTTGACTACAGGTCTGTCTACCGTATTCTGCGAAAAGATGCTGAGATATCTTTTTGAGCCTGTTTCAACCTGCTGCTGGATCAGTATAGCTTTGGTATCTCAGATTTTACAAAGTACATTAGGCTAAATGCGCTACAGTGTTTAACGCCAAAAAAATTTGTATCTGTACGAAAGCTGTCCGAACCAAATGCATTGAGGATACCATTGCCGAAAACTAACAAACAACATGTTTCTCGTATACAAAGAAGTTCGAACGTACCTGTTTCGCCAGCGGAGTATACTGGTTTGTCTGTATGGATATGTAATGCAGCGAGGTTAGGCAGTACTCGTATTTCACTCTCGAACTTGGTATGGCCTTGCACAATAACGCTTACTTTAGCCTTCTCCACAGGGTCAATTACTTGGAAAGAGAAGGAGTGCGAGGCACCTGCAACGAACAGGGAGGTAGAGTTACGGCAATCAAATGATAAACATAACTAAATATACTAGTCTTTCATCAAACATTGCCAGATTACTACTCCAAAATTACTCAGACTGAATTAAGAAGACCAAAGTCATTTACATAAAAAGGTATCATATCAAAGCGACAGGAAGTACCAAAACCGCATAAGCTAAAACGCACCAATACAATCATCGTGTTACAGAGAATACTCACCCGCTCTTTTTGCTTTGAGCTTTTGCGTGAATATAATGGAGCTCTTCTTGTCTCTAAATCCCAGGACACTAAGGTGAATATCCGTATTTTCGCTATCACTCTGGAAAAATTACTTCAAGAAAAATGAATAAAACTCGACTGTTAAAAGAGTGAGTGCTTTGGAAGTATAGATCATACCTTTACTGGAGAAACAATAATAGTGTTTAAGGCATTGATGCGAAGTGAAGGCGGTAGGACTACAAATGGAGATCTGAAAGATACCGTGATTAGAGATGAGGTTATTTATGAGTAAAATAAGCGCTTATGAGGTCATACATCCTTCATCTGAAATCAGCAACCTATGGAAGACCGCAGTATCCGCTACTGTTAGTATGTTGCTTAGTACAGGTGTTCCTGCATAAAAAGCAGAAGTTGTACTTGGTTGCGCTATGATGTAGTAATAGCACCATGAGAACACTAGAACAGTTGAATAGCACAAACGGCTCTTGCACAAGCACTTCATGGTAAATCCAAGCGAGACGCTCTAGCACTCGTCAAAAGGCTATTGCCACAATGAACCAAAATTCAGAGCGTTAGACTTCAACAGACTTCAAGAGCGTTATGAACATGACAATGGCGCTTATCTGCACGGTGAAACCTTCAGGTACGTACGGTAGGTGTACGTTTGAAGGCCAATTCATAGCTCGCTGAAAATCTTCATGGAAGGTGGCTGGATGAATATTTGACATAGCGATTGAGAACTTCATTTCCTCTTGTTTAGTTAATGCATCATTGTGGGCTTAAGCTATGACTAAGCGCATAAACGGTACACCAGATAGCGCCACCGTAACGAGTGCATCCAATATTTGCGCTTTAAACAGCAACAAGGTCCAGCATGATGTGGTATTCTGTGCCTTATCTATCCGTATATTGGTTGATCCAGAAATAATCCAAAAATGTGGAAGATTTCGCAGGATGGACCTCCATAAAATTCCATACGAAATTATCAACATATTTGTGATTGAAAAGACACCGCTAACAAAACCAGCGAAACTGGAGGTTTTAATTTGATGTGCCTAATTTGATATATGGACTTTTTAATAGCCTCAGATTGTTTGCGATAGCAGAAAAAAGACATAACATAAAGAAAGCTGACTCAGAAGAAAGTTAGTGTAAAAACGAATAGAGGGTAGAGTAAAAAAAAACGAAAGCAAAAAAAAAATCGAAACGACTTACATAGCAGGGTCGGCCTTTACAATTAAGCAGCCAATGGACAAGCACCACAAAACGAGATAGATCATAATACTACGCATGTATTTCCATTAGTGAAAGCTGAAAGACTGATGATTATTGTTGGGTCACGGTTGCAAAGATGCGCATCAAATGATCACAGTGACAGCGATAAAAGCTTAGAATGATAACAGGGAACAGCTGTGCGCGACATGAATCGCGGCTGACTCATGCACTCGTGGGTAAATGCGCCGCGCAATCATGGCCGAATGATAGACCCGTAGCTAAGCATCTCTGCAAAGCGTGTTGATTCGAAGTCTTGCAAGGCTGCAAATCTTTCTTATCTATACAAGAGACCATTCAAGGGAAATGAAACAATTCCCAATCCAAAAGACAATCATCGGATATGACCTCAGGATTCGATTTACTTTTTAGAAATCGATTTAATTTTCTACAGTGTCACGTTTCCCCAAGAAGTTTTTTGACTTGAACTGAAAATCCCGCGTCAGGAAGCCATAGTAAGCGAAAGCTCTCCGGAATCTACAAGCTATCAACGATATCAATTTATGGTTGCAGGCATTTCATGGTTCATCTCGTGTATGGGCACCACTTTGAATTCTGGATGATGTGGAACTTCCCGCCGGCGTCGTGGTTGCGTACAAGGCTTATTTCATCCCCTCCCTGTTGTAACCTTTGGTTCAGGTGGCTTGGCGGTTGGAAGGTGAGGCCTTGTGACCTAATTAAGGCAGCTCGCGCCCGCGACACAGTCTGCGTCTCTCCCGCGCGCGTGCTCTCTGATCATTACCTAGCCCTAACTGGGCCACGAAGCCCCGCCTTCCAGCCGCCAAGAGTTGAATCAAAGGGTACACCTATTTTCTCGTGTCGTTCTTTCATCTTTAGTTCAAAGGCCTTGTTGTCGTCCCACGTTGCCTACGGCAGGTGTTCCTTTATTCTCAATTTAGTGGGCTGGAGTGGCTTTATGGGAGCTTCTCGCACACTTTTTTTGAAATTAGGTCTTTACAACGGACCATACTCTAACGTAAGGCTACTATAGGACGAAAGGCAAAAGCAACACTCATTGTGCAGACGCGAACGCGGCATATCTTCACTGTTGTCAACCCTGCGCCTCATGCGCTCTGCGTTAAATAAAACCCCATTCGCGCCCGTAGTGCTCTTCGTCTAGCAGTAGCTTTCAAAAATCGTTCTTTTGCACGTTTTAATTCGCGTGCGGCGGCCACAGAACAGCCCGGTACTTGTGGTCGAGAATAGAAGACACAGTTGCCTCATGGTTCCTTCATACAGCGCCGCAGGACGCAGCAGGTACGCCGCTGCAGTCGCAGTGAAAATATACGTGTACGGCAGCACAGCTTCGCTGGTTATGGGTGCATCTCTATATTTGCTGCACGTTCGTGTTCTCCGAGAGTGTTCCTTCACAACGAGCGAGCTTACATTTTCACTACTGCAGCGGCGTGCTGCGGCAGGCTGCTGCGTCCTGCGGCGTAGTATAAAGGAGCCCTCAATGGGGATCAAGGAAAACAGTGGCTCGAAATAGCGCGCTCGCGTGGGAGTTCAACTTGTGCGCCCACAAAGCAGGAGAGATCGAAGAGAGGAGAGAACAGGCAGGTCACAGGACCATAGTAGCAGATGGGTAGAAGGCGTATTTACCTAGGTCGCCATTAGGCTCCATCCATGCAGACAGATAGCATGAAGCAGTAATGGTGAAGGCGCGCGGTTGTTGCGAATGTCCGCGCTGGACCCCCCCCCCCTTTCAGTGACCTAATGTCCTCTACCCAATCTGGTGGGAAGTATGTTTGCAAACTAAGAAGCCATCTCCTGATGATTCCACTTTTTCTTGTATATCCGCTGTGAATGCGAGCATATCCCGACTCATTCTACACGTAAGAAAATATTTGTTTATTTGAAACGGTCACGCTTGATGAACTGGGTATCCTTAGCAAATGGAACCACAATGATGCGTAGACATCGCGTCTTATTTTGCATAGCCGGTGTTGTGTGGGGTGTGTTCTATGGGGAGTCCTGTAGTTATGAAGCGCACTGTATATTATGAATGGATATGTACCGACAGTCGGAGATGAACTTCTGTGCGACGACGATGTACTCTCAAAAGCTTATGAACAACCCGGAGTTCTGATATGATAGGTTGCTTACACCCTACAGAAACAGAGCAAGACCGAGCGTGCAGCATACTGCCCCTATCAAAGCAACTGTCCCCTAACCCGTGAGCGCAAGTCATTCTTACACGTGCTTGCACGAGCTGCGATTCCACCCACCGTCGAAGCCGGGGTGAGGGAACTTAGGAACCCGAGCCTAATTATCTCGATTCGGGAAGTGCCTGCAGGTTACAGTCACGCTCGCTGTCTCTGCTTGCTCACTAGGACATAGCAACAATCTAAGCCCCGCCCCTATGAGAGCCTGTTTGGAACCTAGCCAAGGAATGCTAAAAATCTCATGAATTTCAGGGCTGGCTCTAAGCCAAAAACCTTCAAAGTGATCGTACGAAGGTGAAATTAGGCTCAAACGAAAGAGAATAACCGTGCCATCATCATAAAGTATCTACTGATTGAAACTGATTGAACACAACATTCTCTTGGTCCAAAACTTTATGTAAGTGTTAAATACTGAGAAATTATTCAAAAAGCCGTCAAGTTTTTCAAAAAAAATTCATTTGAGTGCTAAATCCTAGCAAAAGACTGGAATAACATTAGAGAAATGACACTAAACTTCCCAAGATTGATAGTTATTCAAATGCTGAAATTTAGGCGAAAGACTAGAAAATCAATCGCGAAACGACAGTTTGAAATTCTCAAAAATAAAAGTTTATTTGTGTGCGGAAGTCTGGGCAAAGGACCAGAATATCAAGAAATGACAGTTCAAAAACTTCACTAATGATATTGCTGAGTCTGTCAACGACAGACGATTCTGATGTGCGAAGAACATCGTGCTAATATGCTGGAAGCAATGACCTCAACCTACGCAAGGAAAGATTGCAATAACAGTTTGAGGCGAAATTTTCCTTATGAATAGTAGCATAAAGGGTGAAAACCATTTATCGTTACTACCGATATCTCAACTTCCCAAATCTTACGACGATTATTTTTATTCCCACATGCAGCATCTGCCGCAACAATTTTATTCTTCGGCAGACCCCAATTGTGTTCCTGTACTAAATTGGGAGCCTCAGGTGATTTTGGTAGCAGTTGTGGTAGTTTTAACTACTCAGACACTGGGACCGGCTGAGCCGCGGCCTCAAAAGGCCTTTCCGGCCCTAAATGGTCCGCGGCCTTAATTTGGGGGCGTGGCCGAAGACCGGCCCAGCCGCGGACCTTAATTCATGTCGATATGATTGCACCGGCTGATCCGCGGACTGAATATGGCTTACCGGCCCAGCCGCGGACCGAATATGGCTTACCGGCCCAGCCGCGGACCTTAATTCATGTCGATATGATTGCACCGGCTGAGCCGCGGACCAAAATTTCTATTACGAAACACCGGCTGAGCCGCGGCCCATTTTCGGCTCGGCCGGTCCTAGTATCTGAGCGTAAAGAACACTTGCGTGATGTACGACGCATGGTCAGGCTGCCCTCAGTGTACATAGCCTCCGTTGTTTTTCCAGTCTCCAAGGCAGAAACAAGACCAATATGTTGTACAACACCTGAATATGCTGTGCAACACGTGGATAGCACTTTGTGTTGTCCAACTTTGAAGCCGGACATGGTCTCTAAGCGGCTATGTCCGTGGCTTCAATGTTTGTTTTCCACAGCGTATATTTTACGTGCCAGTGAATCGTTTTGTATCCGAGCTAGAATGATGGCCCGACAACCAGCTCCGGCTGAGCCGCGGCCGTTTTCCGGCTGAGCCGAGGCCGTTTTTCGGCTGAGCCGCGGACTATTCACCGGCTGGTCCGCGGACGCTGCGAAATTCCAGCCGGAAATGGGCCGCGGCTCGGCCGGTCCCAGTGTCTGAGTGCTGAGTGGAATTTCCTGATGTGATTTGCTCGAAATTCAGAACTCAAAAAAAAAATTATTTCTGAGAGTTCTTGATTTGTCATTTCTTGATATTCTAGACTTTTGCCCAGACTTCCGCACACAAACAAACTTTTATATTTGAAAATTTTATAAACTGTCGTTTCGCAATTGATTTTCTAGTCTTTCGCCTAAACTTCAGCATTTAAATAACTATCAATCTTGAGAAGTTTTTGAATTGTCATTTCTCGAGATATTCTAGTCTTTTGCCCGGATTTAGCACTCAAATAAATTTTTTCCAAAACTTTTTGAATAATTTCTCAGTAAACACTTAAATAAAGTTTTGAACCAAGAGAATGTTGTGTTCAATCAGTTTCAATCAGTAGATACTTCATGATGATGGCACGGTTCTTTTCTTTCGTTTGAGCCTAATTTCACTTTCGTACGATCACTTTGAAGGTTTCTGGCTTAGAGCCAGCCCTGAGATTCCATTGAGATTTTCAGCATTCTTTGGCTAGGTTCCAAACAGGCTCTCAGGGGGGCGGGGCTTAGATTGTTGCTATGTCCTAGTGAGTAATCAGAGACAGCGAGCATGACTGTAACCTGCAGGCACTCCCCGAATCGAGCTAATTAATTAGGCTCGGGTTCCTAAGTTCCGTCCCCCTCGAAGCCGGTATGCCGCAATGTAATAACGAGAAGAGTCGTCCTGCAACCACTCTGCTTCTCCAACCATGGCGGGAATTGTCCCACTCGTCCGGATTCAAGATGGATGATCTTGGGAAATGCTGGTTTTTGCTATTTTCGCGCTCTCTGATGTGGATTTTCGCAATCGATGCGATTATCTCAGGAAAGGATTATGAAGTTAGTTCCAACGAAAGGTGTGTCCCTCAACATGGTCATTGCCCTTCGACTGCAAATGATTAGGCAAACAAGAATAACTACAGTAAACAGAGACAATTTAAATGGTGGAAGCTTGATAACAGTCGGTGTACAACCAGCGTTAACAGCAGCTCTCACGAACTTGCGAGAACCCAGATCAATCCTGTGCATAGAGATTAAAAAAAAGAATTATTTGAGTAAGAGGGGTTGGAGCGATGAAACGCAAAACTTAAAAGCAAA